CACCTGATGTGCCCGGAGGGACTACTGCAAAACGCCACTTCAAGAGTCCTTGCACTTCTGACGTCGCCAATCCTGCACCTTCGCCTTCAGGCGTAGATCATCTGGATCATGTTTTTTGGGGAAAAGACGCATGCCAAACTCAAGTCAAATGTAACGAAGATAACAAAGGTGATGACTTGACATGTTTCTTGAAATTATTACGGACAGTTTGTCCCAGGTGACAACTGCAAAGATGCAAAGGACATAGTATGTTTCTTTAGAACACATGTGAAGGAGCAAGACCAGGATAAAAACTGCCAACATGTTCAGAGAAATGCTAGGGAAACAGGAGGGCTTCAGGGCTTGGTCCATCAACCGAAGGCAAATGTAAAAGAAAGTGAATAGAGCAAATCCACGTGGTTTTGATGCTGCCATGCAACTGGCCAAAACCAAGTTTCTGAAGATATGCTATTGACGTTCCGAAGAAGTGTCCACGAACGTTCTGTGAATGTTCTAACATTGTTCTATGTTTGTTTTCAATGAATGATCTTCCCTTTTTTGATGCAGTGTTTAAGCACTGTTCAAAAAGTGAATAAACCTTTCAGAGAAACCAAGGAGAAGTGCCACATAAATATATAGAGGAATCAATCTTGCGTAAAAAATGCATTAGCAAGTGCGTAGACATGCACAAACAATGCAGTGATTGCGCATAGGGGCTTCATAGAACATTCGCGGAAATACATACAACATATTATATAGGTGCTATGAGGCACATATTCAGCGTCAAAATGACTTGTCTGCGGTGTATTCATTCCGACGTTCGGACGCGCGGTCTCGTTTTCCAGGCGCTTCTCGGGTTTCGGGGCATCGATTTTTTGGACGCGTATCATTTCTCGAGAAAAACTCCCAAACAACATGTGCCATAAAACACGCCTAGGTGGCCCCGTCCCCATCACTGACAGCAGATGTGTACGACCAACTGCCAAGGTCACATTCGGCCGGAAGCTGAGATTCAGCCTTGGCAATATTAAACTTTAAACTGCCAATACTAAAACCAAAGATTCATAACACGTAGGATTGGCAATATGAAGCAAAGCTCTGGAACCTACCATTTCGTCTTTGCGCAAGGTCAATCTTAGAGTTGTCAATGGTAGGGCCCATTCTGATCGGAAACTGGAACATCCAAACTTCAAACAAACAACACGGCAAATCCAAAATTCAAGACAATGAAAGATGCAAGACAAACACTGTGTCAGCAACAAAGCCCCACACGTGTATTCCTTTTTCAGGGTGGGTAAGTGAATATTGAAAAAGAAACTTTGAGAATTCAAGCCAAATACCAAACAGGTCAGCAACCAAAGTTTGAAAAGCAACTCAGGAAGAATTTCTGAAATGTCAACACGAAGAATCCCAACATAGAAATTATCAACAAACCCTAAGTAAGTGGACAGCTTCAAAAGAGAACCTCGAGAATTACCCAAAACCCACAACACACAACAAAACCAACAGCGCGGCAACCGCGTCCCACCTGGCAATTCCAAACAACCTGCAATAAGTGCAGAATTCCCAAACTAACCTCGAGAATTGTAATAAAAGAAAACGCGCACCCAAAGGATCCAAGCGCCAGCTGAGGTTGCTATTGTATTTTTGGGGTTTTGTTTGAACTTTCGTGCTTTTTTCGTGCTTTTGCTTGATCTTTCAACATAAGTAACTATTGACATAAACGCCAAACACACCAAACACACCAAACGCAGCAAGCACACAAACACAACAAACAAACACGCAAGCGCACCAAACACACAAGTTGAGCAACCATCCGCAAAAAAATGATCCTGCGCACGTGGCCGCCTGGCCCCCTCGCCTTGGCCGCTGTCGGCCGCGGCATTGTCTTGGCTTTCACGTTCTCCTTAAAGGCTTTGCCAAAGCGACTTGATCGAATCGAGACTCATGCGTTCCGTCTTGCGGAAACGTTGCGCATCTTGCGGTCAGAACGGCTACCCCGATTTTGCACCAAGCTGCGCTGAGCCGATAGAACGGTACCGAAGGCGCCGAAGCCGGCCGGGGCATGCGCTTCACCTGCACCTTGCAGAGTTGGTATCTGGAGGCGATCAAAAGTCAGAAGGGTACAAACTGCAAAAAGCTGGGCAAAAAACAGGGGTCCAGTCAAAAGCAAACACCCTCCTCAGGCGCAGCTTTTTTTGTTGTCGGTTTTGTGGCGTGAAGTTCACGCAGGTCTGCGGATTGGAGAGCTCTTCGAAAACGAATGTGTTCCACAGGCTAACCTCCCACACCTTTCACCCCTCATTATTCTCAATAATTCCCCATGTGTTTGCACCCTTCTGGCGCTCTGCCTGTCCAGTTCACGCGACATATCTTGAGTGCATTGCGGGCAATAAAAGCACCAGGCTTGCGCCTCTAGAACCAAGAGCCCAGCCACTCATGCAAAGCGTCACACACACACACGCACACACGCGCACACCAACACCAACACCAACACTAATATCAACACGCACACACAGACGCACGCAGGCACCCACCCACCCACCCACCCACACACACACACTCACACACACACACAATCACACAATCACATACTCACACACTCACACACACAATCACACACACACACAATCACACACACAACCACACAACCACACAACCACACAATCACACAATCACACAATCACACACACACAATCACACAATCACACAATCACGGAATCACGCACAAACACAACCACATAATCACACAATCACACAATCACGCACACGCACAGTCACACACACAATCACACACACACACAATCACACAATCACACAATCACACAATCTCACAATCTCACAATCACACAATCACACAATCACACAATCACACACCCACACTCACACACAATCACGCACACAAACACACACACACACACAAACACACACACACACAAACACACACAAACGCACACAAACACACACACACACACACACACACACACACACACACACACACACACACACACACACACACACACACACACACACACACACACACACACACACACACACACACACACACACACACACACACACACTCACACACAAACACACACACACACACACACACACACACACACACACACACACACACACACACACACACACACACACACACACACACACACACACACACACACACACACACACACACACACACACACACACACACACACACCACAAACACACACACACACACACACACACACACACACACACACACACA